CATTCATATATATCTCTAAGGAAAAAAGACTAATACCCTAATAGAAATAAAGAATAGATTTTATGAAATAGGATTCTTCAAAGTAGAAATCCAAAGTTCTCCCAAATATATGAAAGGATGATTATTCTCTCTGGTAATTTAAAAAAATACAAATATTGAAGGCAGTTGAGGAGGAAGCGCTTGGAGGGGGTTGGCCTGGTGTGTACTCCGCACCTCGGGGACGCTATTGTGCGTGGATCGGCAGTTTTGGGAAGGCTTTTTCCCAGAAGAAAAGATGTTTGGTTTTCACAAGCCAAAGATGTACCGAAGTATAGAAGGTTGCTGTATTTGCAGAGCTAAGTCCTCCAGTTCTCGATTCACTGATAGTAAACGTTATGAAAAGGACTTCCAGAGCTGTTTTGGGTTGCATGAGACTCATTCAGGAGACATCTGTAATGCCTGTGTTCTGCTTGTGAAAAGATGGAAGAAGTTACCAGCAGGTTAAAAAAAAAAACTGGAATCATGTGGTAGACGAAAGGGCAGGACCTAGTCTAAAGACTACTTTGAAACCAAAGAAAGTAAAAACTCTATCTGGAAACAGGATAAAAAGCAACCAGATCAGTAAACTGCAGAAGAAATTTAAATGTCACAATTCTGATGCTCACAGTACCACCTCAAGTGCCTCCCCAGCTCAATCTCCTTGTTATAGTAACCAGTCAGATGATGGCTCAGATACAGAAATGGCTTCTGGCTCTAATAGAACACTAGTTTTTTTCCTTTTTAGATCTTACTTACTGGAAAAGACAGAAAATTTGTTGTGGTATTATCTATAAAGGCCGTTTTGGAGAAGTCCTCATTGATACACATCTATTCAAGCCTTGCTGCAGCAATAAGAAGACAGCTGCAGAGAAGCCAGAGGAGCAGGGGCCCGAACCTCTGCCCATCTCCACTCAGGAGTGGTGACTGACGTTTATGTAGAAGGGGAACAAATGATTTAAATTTTGAAAAGACCACAAAGCAACAAACTGACCTTACTATTTGTAACTTGGATACCTGCTATTCTGCCAAAAGACAATTTTCTAGAATAGTTTTGAATGGGTTATTTTTTCCTCCAGTCCCATAAACTTTGAAGCCAGTGTCTAGATTACTAAAAGAAAAAAGAAGTGTACATAATATTTAAGATGCTGAGTATTTCATAGGAAAGCTGAATGCTGCTATAAAGTGCTCTTTAAGTCTTTTTTTTTTTAATAATCCCCTTCTAATGAATTAAATTAGGGGTATTTCAGGGGAAAAAAACAAATATTGAACATAATTAAATGGAATTTCATTTGCATCAGAATGTTGTTAATAAGTCATATTAAAATTAATACTTTACAAAAAGTTATTTGAATGACCTCTATTTAAAAAAAACAGAATTTAGCAATATTTTGCTTACTGGGAAGGAATAGTAATATATAATTCACTTGAAACATTGAGGAAATGAGGCAGAACATTTCTTTTATAACCCACCCAAAGCACAGCACTATTTTTGTTCTCTAAAAATGTAACTGAAATAAAAATTTATAATATTAAAATGTTTCTTAGAAGTAATTTAAAAATCTGAATGCCATTATACATTAGTAAACAATATGTGTTCTTTATTATATTTCAGAAGATTCAAATGTGACTTTCAAGTAGTGACTATTGTGTAGAAACTATTTCACTGCTTTAGAATCACTTTTTAGCCTACATATTTGAGTCCCTCAGACTAATACACACATCTCAGAAACAGTAGGTTACTAGGCTCAGGTAACTGGGTCAAAGAAATTTGAGACCAGACTCTCACAGTGCACTTATTATAGTCATTAGAAAAAAAAACATGTTATCAAACACTAATCAAATTATTAATATTATTGAAGAAACATACTGAATAGCTTTTTTTATCCAAGGATGAGATTAAACAGAATTCCTGTATGAAAGCATACATGGGATGTGCCTAAACAGGGAGTATCTTTGAAGAACTTTGACAAATAATGTTGGTTCTGGGAAACACTAACAAGTCATCAAAATGGACAAAGAGAAAGAGGTAGGATTAAGCAGAGAAAACAGTGAAGAGGAAATAAAACTAGGTGGAGATCCACAGTTGTGGTGTAATATAACATTAAAAAACAAAACAAAACTGAAACAAAGCAAAACTATATCTACCTAAAAGTCAATTGTTCCTAGAAGGAATGAGAAATACACACACACACACACACACACACACAACCTTGACATATTCATAAGGAATATGTAATCTGCCAAATATGTCTTCTGTTTTGCAGGTTTATTTAGAGTAATGAAGAGTACAGAGATTGAGGAAACAGTTAAGGCTGTTTTGAAATTTGAAATTATGATTTGTGTTTCAGCCCTTCCTCCAAATGAGCAATTACATGACATCATATAATTACATGACATCATGTCTTTCAAGATCTGAAGAATAACTCACATCCAGACTTCACAGATTAGTGTGGCCACAAAATCTAATCTGCTCTATCTGTATGATGCCAAGCCACTACATTCTTCGATTCTTTTTCATCTAATTGATTGGGTTTGGTAATAAAACAATTAACTTATCTGTCAATTTATGTCACACAAATAACCCACAGGTGTTGTAGAAAAATTAGAAAATCTAGCCGAGAAAAATTTTATCCCTAATTTTGTAACACAGGCATTACTAAAGTTGACCTCATTGTTTTCTTCCACAATAATTAAATCTATAAATGGTCTACCTGGCTGTTTGTCAATCTATAAATCTATAGTATGTATTCAATTGGTCTTTAAATCTTTATTTGTCCATTTTTTTATTTAATTGATTTTATTTTTTAAAATACATGACAGCAGAATGCATTACAATTCTTATTACACATATAGAGCAGAATTTTTTTATATCTCTGTTTGTATATGAAGTATGTTGACACCCAATTCGTGTCCTCATACATGTACTTTAGATACTGATGTCCATCACATTCCACCATCCTTGCTAATCCCCTGCCCCCTCCCATTCCCTCCCACCCCTCTTTCCTATCTAGAATTCATCTATTCCTCCCATTCTCCCCTTCCCTACCCAACTATGAGTCAGCCTCCTTATATCAGAGAAAACATTGGGCATTTGTTTTTTTGGGTATTGGCTAACTTCACTTAGCATTATCTTCTCCAACTCCATCTATTTACCTGCAAACACCATGATTTTATTCTCTTTTATTGCTGAGTAAAATTTCATTGTATATATATGCCACATTTTTTTAAACCCATTCATCTACTGAAGGGCATCTAGGTTGGCTCCACAGTTAGGCTTTTGTGAATTGTAATAAATAAATAAATAAACAAAATGAAACTAATTATGTATGAATATGTTGCAGTGAATCTCACAACTATACATACCCATAATGGAACAATAAAAATATTTTAAAAATTGTAAAAAAAAATCTTTACTTGTTCATTGACATGATATGGCTATAGTTTACAAAATATATCAACACCACACCTGTTTTGTAACCTGCTTTATATTTTTTAAAAAAGGAAGTCAATTTCTCCACAGCAATATGAGGTCAAGGCACCATGTCTGCTTTGCTCACTGACATGCTCAAGCATAATTTGTTAATCGAATGCGTACTTGGGTCTACCCTTATTGACACATTTGAATCTTCTGTGATTTAAATTAACATAAGGAACTAATGCATAAATTATAAATTGTGTTATATAAATTGACAAAAAAATCCAGGTAGATCTGGAATGTCTATCACCTCACTTGAAACATTGTTTCCTCTTTCATAGACCCAATATGTCTTCCCAGAAATGAACTTGGCCTCTATGGATGATGATCCTTATTTTTCTTGGAGTGATAGCAACCTTGGGAGTAACTTCAGTCTCCTAGTTCATTTTCTGGCAGTTGGTCAATATTGACCATTTTCAATTTTAACTTATACTATTAAATCCTTTTCAGTTTAAAAAATTGACAATAAACATGAATATTAAATTTCTTCTAGGAATTTTTATTCATTTACTTATATTTTATTTCAACATCATAATTATTTTTCTTTGACACAGAATTTGATAATTTTTTAAAATCAAATGTCTACTTATAGTAATGTCACCAGTTATGGTGGTTTGGCAAGACTGAAATGCTCAAAACTTGATGTCAATATTCATTGTCAATAAAGTAGCTTATACAGTAGGTTTTTTTGTTGAGTTGTTACATTCTTTAGTCAATATATTTCTGACTGTATATATTCTTTTTCTTCTTGGCTCAAGTTTGCTATTGGTTATTAAGATTTGATGGGTGGTAAGCAATGTATAATCCATAAATGACTCTTTTAATAGTAGATATTCAAGCATGATTGTCTATATACATTGTCTTATTTTCAACCCTTTTATTAACAGTACACACCCAAAAGTTGATTTTTCCAATTAATTTTTGCCTTTCAGAAAAATAAGCCCTTAAATAAGCACATAACTTTATGTGTTTACAGAATTTTGACATCCATTCACAATAATCCTTTGACATTCACAATAATCCTTTGAACTAGTCAGGACCAGTTTTTCTACTATTCCTATTTTCACATGCAGTGAACTGAGGTTCATAAAAGTCAAAGCACTTGCTTGATGTACAAGATTTTAAATGACATAGCTGAGCCCAAACCCAGACCTTAGCATTATAAATATAGCGTTACACCTTGTGATGATTTTTATTCCTCTGAGCTGTATCTCTGCATAAAATTATAAGATAAATTTGGGCTGGTCAAGTTTCCTCCCACAAAAAGCATGAGGACTGAAATCAAAGCTGTTTTATAGCAGATACTGGCAGACAACATGGCATCCTGGAATTCAGTTCCTTGTCCATTGAACTTACCAGTATTTTACTTATTTCTACTTTTTTTCCTTTCTTTTCTTTTCTGTTCCTTAGGTTTCTGGACTATTTAACAAAAACTTTTAGAAAAAAAAAGGAATAAAGAGTTTTAGAAATTTGTGATTCTTTTCCTTTAAAATATACACAACCTTCTGTATTTCAGAATAAAGATAATCATCATGAAAAAAAAATACAAGGATTTGTCTAATTGCTAGTGATGATAAACATTTTTTCATATATTTGTTATTGATTGTATATCATCTTCTGAGAAGTGTCTGTTCAGTTCCTAGGCCTATTTATTGATTGGGTTATTTGTTTTTTGGTGCTTAGCTGTTTGAGTTCTTTATATACCCTACAGATTAGTGCTCTATTTGATGTGTGAGGGGTAAATATTTGCTCCCAAGATGTAGGCTCTCTATTTACCTCACAGATTATTTCTTTTGCTCAGAAGAAACTTTTTAGATTGAGTTCATCCCATTTATTGATTCTTGATTTTAATTCTTGCACCACAGGAGTCTTATTAAGGAAGCTGGGGCGTAAGCCCACATAATGGAGATTAGGGCCTACTTTTTCTTCTATTAGACACAGGGTCTCTGGTTTATTCCTATGTCCTTGATCCGTTTTGAGTTGAGTTTTGTGCATGGTAAGAGATAGAGGTTTAATTTCATTTTGTTGCATATGGACAAATGCAAATCAAAACCACTCTAAGATTTCATCTTACTCCAGTCAGATTGGCAGCTATTATAAAGACAAACAACAATAATTGCTGGTGAGGATGTGGGAAAAAAGGTACACTCATACACTGCTGGTGGGACTGCAAATTGGTGCAGCCAATATGGAAAGCAGTATGGAGATTCCTTTAAAAATTGGGAATGGAATCACCATTTGAGCCAGCTATCCCTCTCCTTGGTCTATATCCAAAGGACTTAAAAACAGCATACCACAGGGACACAGCCACATCAGTGTTTGTAGCAGCACAATTCACAATAGTTAAACTGTGGAACCAACCTAGATGCCCTTCAATAGATGAATGGATAAAAAAAGGTGTGGCATATATACACAATGGAAATTTACTCAGCAATAAGAGAGAATAAAA